TACCCCACACGTATGTGTTTGATGAAAAAAAATTTTTTGAGTTTCAGTTCTAAGTATGGGGAGCCCCCAATATATATATTTTTTTTTTATTTTTGCATCAAAATCTTAATGCGGTTCACAGAATACATCTACTTACCAAGTTTCAACAGTATAGCTCTTATAATTTCGGAAAAAAATGGCTATGACATACGGACGGACAGACGGACGGACGGACGGACAGACAGACATGACGAATCTATAAGGGTTCCGTTTTTTGCCATTTGGCTACGGAACCCTAAAAACAGTAAAAGCTATACATGAGAAAAATCTTCATTATACAAGGTGTTTGGCGGAAGGTTAGACAAACTTCGTGGGTGTATATGTAAGGTCATTTTAAGAATACGAGTTCGCCCATTTGACCCTAAGTGAGCCACTTTTTTTTTAATTGATATATTTGTTTTTATTAAATTTTTCCTAAATTTGACCTGAAAACTGCTTAATTTTTTTTTCTCGCGTATTTTCAACCGCTTTTTTTTTCGATATTAATATCGAATATGTCTTTAGTCAAATAAAATAAATTTTAGATCCAAATAATGATTGAATAGCTAGTTACGAGCCGCCAAAGTTTAACAAAAGTACAAACCACGGTAAAAAATTCAATTTAGAAGTCGATTAAAAAAAATGAAGGTGATAATGGATTGCCAATAATCTTAAAAACATCTCTAGCTTCTCTTCTTTCTAATGATATATCACATGTAGTAGTTACATATTGAAATTCGTCAAAAATTCAAAGTTTATGGAAGAAAATTGAATAATAATACAAAATTTATCCGAGTGTTGCCAACATTTTTAAAATACAAGTTTGGTTGTCCGTATAAGTAAAATTTTAGTGGTCAGACTTGAGTTTTATGAAATTTTAATTGGTTATCATCGATTCGATGTTTTAACACTGGAAACTTAAAAACATCGATACATCGAGTATTTCAATAGCTTTTCAAAACATCGGATTCATTCGATGTATCGCATTGTAAACATCGATGTTTTCAATACATCGATGTATATCGAATATCCCTAGGGGAGCGCTCCAGGCAATTTTTAGNGCTTAAACCTCGCAACCGATTTTGATGAAATTTGGCATAGAGATAGTTTGAGTCCCGGGAAAGAACATAGGATAGTTTTTATCCCGGTTTTTGAAACAGGGACGCGCGCGATAAAGTTTTTCTGTGACAGACAAAATTCCACGCGGGCGAAGCCGCGGGCGGAAAGCTTAATATATATAAGGTCTCGCTGATGGTTTACAGGTTGATTATTCGAAATCATTGTTTTAGTACAATTGAATAAAGTTTCTTATTTTATTTAAATAGTTTAAACAAAAAATCTGATACGATAAGATAAGATAAGATAAATTTATTGAATAAAGACTTAGCCTAAATACAAGAAACTTAAATGGGGCTATGAAATTATTTGGTTAGTAACAATATTTTAATTAAGGTAGTATACCTAAACTAAGCAAAAATGTTTGCCTGTGTTTTAGGTATCCATACTTATTACGTAAGTTAGTGCTTATTAAACAGATATTATCCTGTTTTCGCCTCCGAGATTTATTTTACCATGTAGTACCCCTGTACGACAAGCCAATCCGCACACAATATTCAGCGTAGTAGTAGTAAAAAACAAAAGAGCGGGCAACCCCACCCCTACCACGCTGTGGGCTCGGTGTCCGAGCGGTCTCATAATACTGAAGCTGACTGAATCAAGGTGTCTGAATAAAGACACGGAGNCTTTGCAATATTAAGTCAGCTATGAAATGTATCGAAGGCGTTACTAGTGGTTCTACCTTCAGAGCACTCAATTTAATAACGGGCTTCTAAATAACTTTTGTAAAATTGAAGACTGCTTAAAGATTTCCCGGATTATTTCAGGCTTTATATCTTTTCAAAATCATAATAATACAAGACTTATGTACTAAAGACAAGTAAGCTAGAAGCTTTATAAACACTAGGCGATTGTATTTACACAACTCAAACGTGAATGGCATTCATAACTGTGACGCTGGAATCAGAATCCCACTTCAGTTCTTTTAGCTAGTGGGAACACGGCTTTACAACCGTTTGCTGGCAAAGTGTGACCTATTTTGTGGCTATCCCCTTTACTGCCACGCCAAGGCTAGCTGTTTCATAAAAGATACGACATGACGGAGTGACATTCATAAATAATGAGTGGAACTAGCGAGATGGGAACTTATTGGGACAGTTGTCCAATTTATGAAGACCCACCATAATATTTGTTGTACTAATAAAATGGCTGACAATGGTGACTGAGTGTTTCCGCCATTTCTTTTCGGCACCAGCCCATATGTTGTCCCGAAGTGGTGGTAGGGCAAGCTATTTGGGACGTGTTTAAGAGCCCTGGAAAGGTTAGGACCTTTCTTAGTACAAAATAAAAAAACCGGCCAAGTGCGAGTCGGGCTCGCGCACAAAGGGTTCCGTAGCAGCAAATATAATAAACTTATTATGTCAATTTATACACCTGGTGAATGGAGCCTAAACTCTCCCGATATTTTGCCTTGTACTTTTATGTATGAATATTAATTTTATATATGTATTTATAAATATTCCGAGCTAAAGAGGTGGCAAAAGCAATGGCAAACAAACCACAATCAATAGTATTCGGTTGTCGCTGAACACTTGGAAACTGAATACATGACTCCGATAGATACGGAAACAAGGCTTTTACATATATTTTTTGCGATTTTCCTAGAACACCAACAAGACTATCGTACACACGCAGTATTCCATTAATGTAATAAATACAACTCCAGTGCCCCACTAATCCCACGTCACCGTCATAAATTACTTGAAGGTGCGTCTCATTTTTAGGTACAGGTTCAATCAGTTCAGGGTGTTGAAATAATTCTAGCTCACGCGGTCTAAATGATGTGCACCGAAGTAACTTTTCATGAAATGCGCGAACCACATCATCTTCGATATAGTTATTATAATTCAGAATGTAGGAAAACGTATTATCTAAAGTATCCATTGTTAGATGATATACAATAAGCTTTAGAAATTTTAAAAACCTGCTACGAAACACTAAAATTTGCACCAAAAACAAAGGAATTTATATTATTGGGGGATTTATTAGTACGTGACCGGTTTAATAGCACCTATTAAACCAGTATACCTACTTACTTATTTTTTATAATAGGTACAATTCAATATTAAAAAGTCTCAACGCCAAATTCGACTTGCGAAAGAAGTAAATGGGAACGATGAAATTCTCTTAGCGCGCACAAGTGACAACGACGTCTGCCCTCACGTGTCTGCCCGTTCGGGTCGACGCGGTTAGCTATCTTATCCCCGCTCCCGCGCGAGACCACGCCCCGCAACTCACGCGCTGCAGCGCAGCGAGCGACCGATCTTCTTGAATCGATGTAATAATAATCTATAGGATTAACGCGTTTTAAAAATATTGGTTCGATGGATATGTTTAACCTATTATTACTCAACAATCACATTTGTAATATTAAACTTTATCAAATGCACAATGTATTTAAGGTACATTACTGGATAAGGATTAATGGCGTATTGCTTGAATAAGCTAATATTTCTCGTAAAAAGTACCTACATTATAAAGATTTTATATCATCGCGGATTTTAAAAGGTGTACAATACTGTAGTATATTTTTTGATCTATCTTATAAGGTTCAGCCATCGTTTTCAGTGTAAGCACAATAACTTAACCAAAATTACAGTTAAATCAACCTATCTCAAAAACTATAAGAGATACTTTGATCAAACCAAAAATCGTTGAAAGAGTTAATTAGCATGCATCACCTCTATTTTTTTTAGAATTTTATACCCCGTAGTTATAAAAATAGAGGGGGGGGGACATACTTTTTACGACTTTGAGAGCTGATATCTCAAAAACCGTTCACTTTAAGAAAAATGTTTTTTAGAAAACTTTATATCATTTTAAAAGACCTTTCCATTGATACCCCACACGGGTATGTACATCGAAAAAAAAATTTTCATCCCTCAGTTACATGTATGGGGGGCCCCACCCCCAATTCTTTTTTTTACTATTTAGTGTCATAATTTTGTAGCGGTTCATACAACACATATTCCCATCAAATTTCATCACTGTAGTACTTATAGTTTCCGAGTAAATCGGCTGTGACAGACGGACAGACGGACAGACGGACAGACGGACAGACGGACAGACGGACAGACGGACAGACGGACATGACGAAACTATAAGGGTTCCGTTTTTGCCATTTTGGCTACGGAACCCTAAAAAACTGCGACTAAATCATAATGACCTTCGCAGGCACTGACTACAAAAGTTTTATGACCGTTTTCACCATTAATCTCTAATTTTCCCATTGAAAACAAAATTCCTGTTAAGTGTTCCATAGGGATCACTTAAAAATTTGGGATTGATGGTGAAAACGGTCATTAGCCAACTCTATCCCCTATCTCTTACTATTCTTTTTTAGAATGCACAAAATGTGTACATCATTAGTACTGTAATATACTCCAAGAGTAATCGAACTGCCACGCGATAAATATAACTTGACCCGGTAGAATTATTAAGAGGCACTTATGAGTGATAAGGTGGTTGCTGTAGCGCCATCCTAGTCGCTACAAATCGTAGCCCTTGTTTACTAAACATTATGATTAGATTTACATGTTTACGAAATCGGTTTGAGAGAATTCCTGATTTGGTTCGCAAATAGCACAAAAGCAATCTGTGTCAAGTTACTGAGTCTGCTAGTGTGACGTTTGTAATGTAAGTTTTTTCATAGAGACTAAAATGAAGATGTCTTTTGAATTTCAAATTCCTATGTGCAATTGAGAATTCCAACGCTTTAAAGACACGACGCATCCAGGGCTTTTACGATCAGTGAAAGAATCAATGGTGTATCACTTTTACTTTTCTTGTACAACCTTTCTAGCACATTTGGTTTCTATAACCTTTTTAACAAAGTTATTATGTATTTCCTAACAATTTTTTTCCAGATAATGACGTCAGGCTGGACAACCACATACCACTTCGGGTGCATGCTCCCGGATTACTCAATGAAGCCTGAACCTCTAAGGATGCTGCGCTTCCTCTGGTGGACCATCATCCTCAAGCTGCTGGAGCTGTGGGAGACAGTGTTCTTCGTTCTAAGGAAGAGAGAGAGGCAGGTGTCATTCCTGCATGTATACCATCACTGCAGCACGTTGGTCATTGTGTGGTCAGCCGCCAAGTACGTTGGAGGTGAGTATCAGAGTATCAAGATCTGTCATTCGCCTTTTTCTTCTTGGAGAGGCAATGAATGGCAGAATATAGGTAAATAGCATTGCATTGTCACCATAAAAATTGTATGGTCTTTCTATTTTAGACTTGCGTGGTAAAACTTACTAACACCAACCATTAAACATGGAAGACTAAAGACATGTTTATTCTGAGTCATAAATAATAAAAATAAACTTTTTTAAAAACAAGCTTTTATTCTGAATTTCGAAAGTTTGTATCGCGCATGGAATTTATTCCTCTTTTTCTCTGTTTGCGCTACAAGCTTTCGAGATTCAGAATAAAAGCTTGTTTTTAAAAAAGTTTATTTTTATTATAATTTTATTTTACATTTTTTAGTTATATCTTAATCTCAGGACCCTGGACATTATCTAACACTAAAGTGCTCGAAAAGACAAATCCAACGAACCCAAACTCGATGAGTTTCCGCCGTTTTGTTTAGGAGTTCCTATGGCCACCTCCCGACTCCATCATCAGACCAGCTCAATGGTACCATAATATTGCATTGTCATCGTACTTACATAAGTATACCAAATTTCAGCTCAATCGGTTGAGGAGAACTGGTCTTAAATTCAGTAGCAAGATTTGTCCCACACATACTAACAAGTGAAGTCAATATAAAGCTTGTAATAAAAAGCTAAAGATAATCTTGAGATCATCACTGACGTCATTCATATGATGAAAGTCCCTTCCAGTTACGATATTAATTAAAAGCTAAGTAATTAAGGTGTCGAGACTATAAAATAAGTGTACGTTAAGCATCCACCGTAATGACCGACCTAAATGGGTCTTTAAAATTAAATATGGGTCAAACGTAATATTTTTTATGCTTATGAAAGCTAATGTTCACATATAGACGATAATGCCTGACATTAAAAATTAAATGGACGTTGTGATCGTTTAGATAAATTAACAACATCGTAGCTGTCCGGTAAAATCGGTAATTTATAAAAACGTAAGCCTCTACAGTTGTATTTGTGTTTTTATGGATTCTGGTGCTTATCCTCTGCTCTCAGAAAACATACCATCAATTCTTGGCATTTCTCTTTATCAAAATTGTCTTGATGATGATTCATCATCATTTTAGCGACAGGGCGTCCACTGCCGAGCATATACTTCCCCAGAATGATGATTTCTAGATTGACTATCTGATTTTATGATGATAACTCAATTTAATCACATTATCCTGCTTTAATGACCTTTTCAAGTCAGTCTTTCGGCATTTTTTTCGTTCCTAAACAAATATGCCCCGTCATAACAACTACAAACATCCAAAGTAGTTCGCATGGCGTGCAGCACGCCCCATTGTCGATAAACAACCGCCATTTGCACAATTTCGCCGAAATTACCTCATTTTACATACAGTTTAGCCATAATAAGCTCCAACGTTACTAAAACTTTCATGGCCGATTTGGGCTTTATGATGTCGCTGACTTGATTATTTTACACGCTTGTTAATGAAATTCGTTTGCAAAAAGTGAGTGGAATGAACTGTTCTACTCTGTAGATTGTTAATTTTAAACAATCGAAACTCAGAACGTACTATAACTATAGGATCCTATAAGGATCTAGGATCTTTTAATAGGTAGGTACTCGATAGTGATGTTATGGATATGTAGTTTCGGTTATGGATACGGTTACGGATATAGGAATAATATTATACCGGTTACGGTTAGGTACGGATACTTTTTTATTTCGGATATCCGAAAGTTTCGGTTACGGTTACGGATATCAATAAAATCCCTGGTACTCGACAAGTGAAAATTTACTGTTTTTAGGTCAGCAGGCAATGAAAGTCAGTAAGCCTTTACAGCCAGGAGTTACGCGAGACTAAACGACACCATGTGGTGTCTTCCGGTTGTATTATTATGCCCTGTGTTATAAAATCATTGACAAGTCTCCGTCAAGTCTGAACATAACATATCCGAAGTTGCATCACAGTAATTCAATCTGAATCAGAATCATTGGACTCAAAAATGTAATCATTGAATCATTCACTGGACTCCAACATTGGCGACTGATGTCGATAAGTTAACGGATTACTTGTCAGTTTATGGTGAAGTCAGATTTTTTTTATTTAACACAAAAGACTCCAAACCGCCTCTGTGGTCTAGAGTTAGACCACCTGCTTCAGACGCAGAGGTCCCGGGTTCGATTCCCAGTGGGGGCAGAATTTTCTGTTCGGTTTGGTTGGTGGTAGGACTTGTTCCAACTCCGCCTGCCTAGCTACCACCATCTTACCTAAGTCTGTCGCCATAACAACAATGTTAACAGCATTGTTGTGTTCCGGCAGTTAGAGGTAAAATAGCCAGTTCCTCTGTGGTTGATGATTCCGGGCGAAGCTCGCTTCCACCTTCGGCCTGATCATCACTTACCATCAGCTGAGCTTCGCCGTTGTGGATAAAAAAAATGAAATTCTGATGTTTTAAATAATAACACATTTTTAATAATAACCTTGACCACTCACTAAGCGGGCAATGGAACCCTGAGCAAATTGTGATTGCTTTATCATTTGATAGACCATAATAAAGATACTATCGGCAGTATTGTGACTCGTTAATTTGGATAACCAAATGGCACCAACAAATGAAGTAATTGCTATTTAATGTTTGCCAATCAATGTCAAACTTTTCATAGCAAAAGGTTGCTGCAATAACGTCTTCGAAGCTACAGTAAATTTATTAACAACGAATCGGCTCTTACGTAAAATCTTTCAATCAAATCGGGTCAATATGGATTCCAATTTACGTGGAAATCAATTTGACATGTGCGTCTTAATCATAAAGAACGCTTATGTGTGATTTACAATTCGAGATTACTACACTTGTATCGTAACGAAATTAATGCGAACGAAATTAATCGAGAGTGACATACATCAAGACCATTGCTTAATTGCCAATATGCACGTCATTGTAGGTACGGAATATGGAATGGCTGATTCATCAAATTAGTATGATCGCATTGCTATTATTGCCTCAACTGGAGTGTTCGATAAAAATGAACTTCAATTTACTATTTTGGATATTGCGAGACTTTTTTCAGCCACAGGACGTCCACTGCTGAACATAGGCCGCCCCCAATGATTTCCATATCACCAGTTGGTAGCAGCCTGCATCCAGCAATCGATCAAATACCTAATCTTTTTACGACGCTACATAATATTCATGAAATTAATGACAGTCAAAAATATACAATACAACCAAGCTTTTGATTAATCAAATATAGCTATATGCTTGGTTTGAATCTGATTTGGATATTTTTTTATGCATAACAAGGCAGGTATTTGACCACAATCGCACCTGATGTTAATTCGTTTTAAAATATGAGGCTAAATCAAAACTAGGAAGGAAATCTTTGGCAACTACGCGATGAGGGTTTTCGCGAATGAAAGATCCGCTAGATGGCGGGACGTGGATGTGGGGTCTGACTGCTGCGTGATTGGTGGATTTTGACATATCTGTCAATGTCATGTCAAAAATAACGAATCATGCAGCATTTGGACCTCGCGTCTACGTATTGCCATCTGGCGGATTTTTCATACGCGAAAACCCTCTTTAAAATGAATATGGGACGTGTATATTAAGGGTGTAATCAATTAAAGTTTATTGCACTGTAAGCACTTAGTATTTCAATTTGTTAGAAGCCTTCCAAGAATTACTACCGGCTCACTACAGTTATTGACTGTTTGCTAATTTCTAGGAAAGCTAATAATTTTCAGAGAACGTGCGTGCGTGCATATATGATTTTACGATCGTTGAAGGATTGTGCTGACATTTAATATGAAAATGAGTATGATTTTAATTAAAAGGTGGACCGACGACCTCATAAAGGCGCTGGATGCAGCAGGCCTCTACAAACCGGTCTTTGTGAAATCATTGGGGGAGGCCTATGTTCAGCAGTGGACGTCCTGTGGCTGAAATGATGATGACGCAAATTTAATAAAATAATGACAAGTTTTTCTCCTTACACAATCTGGTAGTATTCAAAATGAACTGGGTCATCCCAAAAAATAGGAAAGCATTACGTCATCGCTAAGCGGCTTAGAATAAAGACGTTCGGTAATAACTTACAACTACACCTTTATTCGTATTACGTAAAGACAATAAGACACAAACCTGATAAAACGCTAGACTAGAACTATTTCTAACTAGCTTTCCGGTGTAGATGCAGCGATAGCCGCTCAATAGGTTTCAGTTAACAAAAGAGCTTGCTCTTAGATATATCTAAATGGAGAGCTACATTTCAACTGTAGTTATTTTGTTTTAGTAAGAGCAGTTAAGTAGTCCTTTTGTTTTTAGAATTTAAGGACCTCAGACCTAGCCTTTTGTTAATTGCCAAAACGAAGTTTAATTAGTACCACACGCAGGTCGCAATATGTGTAAGTAGGTGATGGAAGATGCATCCTCAACTAATATGATGGAAAAGGCAAGGCCACATAAAAGCTCAACGGACTACAGGAAAAACAATGCAATTGAATAAGAAAATTTCAGTTAAATTAAAACGTCAAAACTTCTGCAAAAATTTACTGTAAAAAGTTACCAGAGTCCAGACAAGTAAGTTAACCATTTGAGGCAATATACGTATCAAATCAGCAGACTAATATACAGATACTAAATTGACACAGAGTACCTATAAACTGATATTGACAGAAGCAAACTATCCAGTACACAACAATGAGTGCTGTTAAAAGGTCTGTTTGCAGAAGGCGAGGCAAAATGGAACTCACTTGTTGACTGAGTAACTGACACAGTAAACTACCCTATGGACTAAATAGTGTGTGTACAAACAAAAAAGTGACCTTAATGTAGGTTATTGGCGAAAAATAATGGTATAATAAACGCATACGTAAATGGAAAGCTCAGTAAATCAACAATTTTTGAAGTAAAATGCGAATTTAATGCATTTATGATATATTTCTTCTGTTAATGGAGTAGGTACTACCTGACATACCCCATGGGTGGGATACATAGCGTGACGTGCAAACGGTAGAATTGTGAATTAACACCATAAAGGGCTAAATGCATAAATGAATTCTCGGGTATAA